ACTCTCGTTATAGTGAAGATTGGTCTATAGTAAAGAATTTTTTCAGAACAAAACCAAATATATTAAATATTCACTCGATATAATAAAGTTAAATAGTAAACTCTTGATATAAGATATAGTGAAGATTTTTTTCAAACAGATATAACAAAATTTCACTCAATATAGTGAAGTCGATATTATGTGATTTATACCAACCAATCAGATGAAGCAATCGAATGATCATGAGCTCACGTAGTGCATACGTATCAATATGTGCTTTTTGTAATAGTAGATTCATACAGTACATAATTGTCGAAGTTAGGCAAAATGTATAGAAAATATGTATTGAGAATTGTAGCGACTTTTTTTTAATATTAACTACCATTAACTTTTGGAAAGTTTGAATAAATCTCACTTAATTTACAACTGATTTTTTTTTTTTTTTTTTTTTTTTTATAAATATGTACGATTTTTTTTTTTTTTCTCAAGTTTTTTTCTGCTGTGGGTCTTTTCGTGGATCTCTTTTTTTACTTATAAGAAACTGAACAACCTAAGTAACAGCAGCTTTAACGACATACAAAGGGTAATAGTGATTCTAAGTAACAGCAGCTTTAACAATACACAAAGGGTAATAGTGATTTATAAATGCTATTTAATTTTTTTTTTTATATTTCTTTAATTTTTTCTTGTTATCATAAGCTAGACAGTTAAGGTAACAGCAGCTCTAACACATACAAAAGGCTCCAGTAATTTAAGTGTTATAATAGTCACCCAAATCACAGTAACGGTAATCAGCAAAGTGAAGTTAATAGAATACGCGTAATAATGGACAATGGTGTAGAGTCTTCTAAAGAACCAAACAAGTGAAAACGTAATAAAGAAAATGAATCCCCTGCAAAAAGAAAAAGTTTAACAGGTGCTCAAAAAGCAGAAATATGCCACCTAAAACTAAAAGGTGTTAGTCAAGTCAAGTTAGCTGAACAATTTACTGTTGCTGAAGCAACAATTTCAAATATTATTCGAGAAAAGGATAGGTGGTTGTCACTTGAACCTGGTTCTAATAATATTAATTTGAAACGACAAAGAACTGCAAAGTTCGCTTTGTTGGAAGAGGCACTTGCTCTCTGGGTATCAAGAGTAACCACAGCATTACAAACGATTACTGGAGTAATAATTCAGCGTAAAGCAGTTCAATTGGCAGAAGGTCTTAATGTGGTGGGTTTTAATGCCTCCGAAGGATAGTTATCAAACTTTAAAAAATGGTATCATATAAAGGAGTATAAGCGTCAAGGTGAAGCCGCAAGTGCGCCCCTGGGTGATCTTCCTAGATTTCGTGATGAATTACGTGAAGTAATTAAAGATTATCGACCTAAGAATGTTTACAATGCGAATGAGACTGCATTGTACTGGCACATGGAACCAGACAAAACATTGGCCAGTAGTTCAGTTTCAGGCAAAAAAAAAGCTAAGGATTATGTAACAGTTTTATTAACATGTAATGCAACTAGTGAACATAAACTTCCCCCCTTACTTATACACAAATATTAAAATCCTCGAGCTCTTCGAAATGTTGATAAGTCAACCTTACCTGTGTATTTTTACTGAAACAGTTCTGTCTAGATGCAAACATCCATTTTTAATCGATATATCCAACATCTTGATAACCAAATATGACTTGTTGATCAGTCAATTCTTCTTATCTTGGATGGTGTATCAACTCATGGTCTTGAAGAAGGCTATACTCCATCAAATGTAAAGCTTCATTTTCTTCCTCCAAATACGACAACACACCTTCAACCATGTGATGCGGAAATTATTTGGAGTTTCAAAGTAAGCAAAAAAAAAAAGAAAAAAAAAAAAAAAAAAAAAGATTATTGACATTTTATTGTTTATATAATTTAGGCACATTATAAAAAAATTTTTTGTCAAGATCATATAGAATCGTTTGATTTTTTTTTAGAATCTG